CCCCAAAACCCCAAAACCCCAAAACCCCAAAACCCCAAAACCCCTGATTGTAGGAACTAATTGAATAATTGCAATTTAAATATTTCTAACTATCTGACAGATTATTTAGCTAAGCAGCTCAATGACTTAATAGGCATTAATTGATTAATTAGGGTGACAGAAAGAAGCAAAGGGATGAAGCTTTATTGTAGAATAGTTTGATCCTGTTTAGGCAATGAAGTGACTCATTCATCAATTTTCGAATTTCTTTCTATCTTAGGGTTTGAAGGATTATTAGAAATTCCTTCTTTGGATATTTGTATTGAAGTGGTTGCATCTTTAATGATTCCTTCTTGGGAATTACTGCTGATTTTAGACTCCTCAACTCTGGATGTAGTAGGATTCTATATTTTATGGACACTCATACTTGTGAGGAACTTTTAGAGCCATTGATTTTAAGGTGTTCTAGTTGTTTTCAGAGGGTTTTTGAGAATTTAGAAGTTTTCTGGATAATTTCTTGCACTTTGGACGAGGATTTTCTAAAAAATTGGAATGAGAATGAAGCCCTGAGTGTTCTTTAAACGCTTACTTTATGGATTCATTAATGAATGAATTAAGGCTCAATAAATGTTGCTCTAGTTTGACATAGTCTGTTGAATGACTGTTCTTGGGATTACAATTCATCCTATAAATATTTCAGTTTAAGGGTAAACTCATCATTTTAAGTGCTTGGGGAATTTACAGAATACTAGAATTCAAGCTTACTGGTCGATCTCTGATAAAATTGTTCCCTCATTTGGGCAATCTTTACTTTTATGCGTATTCTCACTCGTTTTGAAATGAACTTTTGAGGATACTTTTGATCATCTAGATTAAAGTTGTATTCTAATTAAACAAACTCCTTACTTTTTGAGCAGATCTCAAGATTTATGTGAAGGCGGGAACCTCAGATTTGATTGTTGGCTTGGTCCTGTGCTGATTTTGTTGAATGATGGCTTTGAGGGAGGTGCTTTAGAGGGAATATTGCCAATGTCCTCCTCATCTTCATGATTCCTAAAATCCCCATTTGTCTGTTTCACCCAACATGTATCAGTAGGGCCAAAGCTACAATCTGGTTTCTCATAAATATTTGGAAGATTGAAGGAATCTAAAGCATTAAGGCTAGGATACCTTGGTCTTCATCTGAGTGGTGGTCATCTAGCTTCTTCATAAGGTGCATATTTTCGAAGAAATTAAGGTTCCTCTTTGCTTCTTGGATATTATCCATTGCAACCTTATTGTTGTACTCGCTGTTGACTTTCTTGGCATTGGCTACTATCATTGACTCGTAGATTTCATCAACTATTTTAAAGGTCTTTTTAGCTTCATTGAGTTTCTGAATGAGAAGCCTTCTTCATTCTTTCATCTTCTTAAGGGTCTTCAAAGGAATGTTGGATAGCTTTGAGCCGAGAAAATTCAGTTCAGAAAGTTGAATGTTACGCGTGGTTCTACCCCTCGTCTGATTCGACTGTGCTAAATTTATTTTCCTACTCGATTGAATCAGCGGGGTATTCGGAGAGCTAGTCCCTACAGGCTTGAATGTCGGGAGACAGAAGTCATATTTTGTACTTTTGACGATATAATTTGTTTTAACATTAGTGATTACTTCTCTAAGAGTGATATCTGACTTTGATAGTTCTTCTAAGTCCTCTGATTTCAAGCAGAGTAAAGATCAGTGGGTTTCTGCTATGAATTCGAATAAGCAAGTGTACCCCAATATAGAATTGTAGAAATTAAAGCAAGAGCCTGCCTTGAGCACGAGGAAAGGAATTCGTTCGAAATTGTCCTGGATAATAACATTGACTTTGACCTCACCAGAGAATACGAAGTATGTGTTCCTACAGATCTCTAGGTATCTGATGATTCTCTTCTTCTCCATCATTCGGACTCTTGAAAGTCTAAAGCAGATTGTCTGAATTGTGGCCTCTGGGATTGCTTTCAAGCTAGGGATGTAACTTACTATTTTATGAAGGGTTTTAAAGTAAGGATCACGATATGCGAGATTATTTCTTTATCTTTATTTTGCATTTCATGTGAGTATTTAAGAATTGTACAAAGTCCTCTTTCTTCATACGAGCACAGATCGTGCTAGAGATTGAACAGATTGAAGCAGTGATCGGGATAGAGTAAAGACATGAAATTTCACCAAAATACGCACCAGTTTTGAGCTCATTCAAGCTGGTGTAATTTTTAGCTTCATCTATTCGGGAAAACTTATTGATGATGCTCACCCTGGCTCTTTCCTCCTTTTCTTGCTCTTCAGTTAGAAAAAGCTTGTCTCTTGTTAGGATCGAGGGGACTATTATTGGGCTAGATCCTTGCTGAAGTTCGTTACTTTGATCCTTGCAGATTTAAATTAGGTACTCTTGGCGATTTTAAAGGTGCAACTTTGTTAATCTTTTGGTTTAAAGTAGTCTTACTGAGTCTTAAATTTTCAATCGATCTTACAGAGTTACAAGACTCTTCAGAATTAAAGTTCTCCTTAATAGTCATATTTTGGGAGTCTTTATAACATCGAAGCTGAGGAGAAGTAAGTAAGTCATTATGAGTCTCGATAACCTCATCATTTTGCTCTTCTTCATCATCACTTCCTTTTTCATTCTGAGGTCTTTGCTTCGCTTTCCTTAGTGCTTCGAAGAAGACGTCAGTAAGGTTATTTTTCAGTTTGGATATGCTTCTGCTCTTCAATGATATCAATGTCTTCTTTTTGTTCTATCTCAACTTTCTTTTCGTGGGAAATAAACTTTTGGACCTTTTCATGATCAAAATACTCAAAGTCATTATGCTCGAGGAAGACCTCAACTAGGCCATCGATGATGAAGTAAACATAGTTATTTAACAATCCTTGTTTGAGAATGATATCTCCGGATAGAAAGTAACATACCTCGAGGTTTTCACAGAAGGATTCAAATTCTAAGGGATTTTTGGGATTTAAAAATGATATTTTATTTTAATCCATCTCTTGTCTGGAAGTACTTTATAAGCTTGGTGTGCTCATTTGGGACATATTGGGAATCATTAATCCCGTCATGGTATTCAAACACTCTGTCCTGGATCTGCTCAGGGAGTCTCAAGCTGACCATAATAGAGCTGATAATGTCGATTTCTTCGTTTTTGACCCGATCTGTTTTGCTCATGGCTGAGAGAAGAGAAGCGAATTCACCTATCACAATACCAATAAATATCGTTCAGAGAAACACAAGAAGAGTTGCAATTAAAAGCTCAGTATTGTTTGTCGGAAGAATCTCACTACCGAGTAGAATTATTGCAGAATAATAATTAAAGAGAAAATATCGTCGATATTTCTCCCCAGTGTAAGCAATGGTTACTTTTGAGTCAAGATCTTTTGGAGGAAACCAAGTCTCATTGTTTTCTGCAATAAGGTACCAACCTCAATTTATCCAATGCATGATCATTAGAATAAAGAAAATTAGTTGGCCTAGCTTCATGCTGAACTTTAGCTTCTGGTTTGCTCTAAGAATTGTAATTAACCTTCCAAGTCTTAATAACCTGACCATTTTAAGCATCCCTAAAAATTGGAGGTTGGAAGAGCCTGAGGGTATAATTGCAGTGATAACTTCAAGAGGTAACGAAGCCACCAAGTCGACTCCGAATCTCCCATACAGCACATAGTTGATTGCAATTTTATTTACCGTCGCACACCAGTTCGTCCGTGTGTGAGTTTCTGTACATCGTCCTGAAGTTGATGAAGATGTCTACGATGAAGATCACATCAATCAGTCGGTCTCAGATCTGGAGGATGATATGACTCTCCATTGTATATGCAAATTCAAATGGAATTAGAATAGAGTTGTAGATAGAGAAAATAATAATAATCAAATCCCAAATCGATTTCATCCTTGAATCAGGATGAATCAAATGTGTAGTCAGCACAACCCAAAGACTTGCCTTTGGGATGTCTTCTTCAACAATATTCACTGCTTTTAGTCTTAATAAGTGAGGATTATTGCCTTTTTCAGAGTGTTCATTGTCTTCATGGTTTTCCATGATTAATTTTGTATATAAATGAAATATTTTTAAAGTTTTCTAGAAATATGAATTATCAATTTGTTTTAAATATTGGGGTTTTGGGGTTTTGGGGTTTTGGGGTTTTGGGG